GGGATCTGGATTAGAGCTCAGGCATTAAACTACTTCTGACCTATAAATTAGGGGCTTGAACTACATTGGCAGTAATTAAGAGACCAAAACTGCTACTATTCCAAGCAGTGAATCTGATTTGGTTACACTGCTACTTTTAAACACATGTTTCTTTCTCTTCCCATTAATTTTCAAACTTTCTTTTATCAGCCCATTCTCTTTCCCTAGGGGGGAAAAAAATCTGATTCTATTATTTGGTGGGGTCTCTGTTTTTTAACCTCTGCTGCTTTAATATCTGGAATTTTTCCATTGTTTTTTTACGGGGCTATTCCTGTACCTTGCTTACCAGAGGTCTAGCCTTGGGAAAATAGAGGAAAATTACATTACTGGTGTTTTCAAGACGAGGTAAAGCATGTGCCACAGTGTACAGCCATTGAAAGTCACAATGGATAACATCTTAATAGAATGGATGCTCAGTCTGATGAAAGATTGAGAACAGTGATGTAAGTTGGTGAGAATTCTTGGTCCTTGGTTAATAGTGTTTCAAGTATAACCTTGTCTAGGCACCAAATTCCTTCTGTCTCTTTTGGGGAAGGACTGAGTAGGGGGCATGTTGACATATACTTACCAGAGAACACACCTCCTAGGTCTGTTCATTGGAGACAGTGAATTGTGAGCTATTTTTAAATGGAAGGCCTTGCTTGAGAACGTATGAATTATACCCTCGAAGAAAGTTAGATTTTGCTGTATGCATATTTACTGCATAAAAATTAAGTGTGCTTTTAACAAATGAATATTGCTGAATTTTTCTGTAGGTAAAACTGTATTATAATTGATGACTTTGCAGAAGCCAGATTCTCCTGTTGAACATTTTGTCAGCTTGAAACTTGCTTTAGATTTGTTCTTCTTGCTGACTTTAGTGTTTACCTGATTTTTACCCTTCATGTAACTGCGCGCGCACGCACACACACGCACACACACGCACACACACACACACACACTGTAAGTAATCATCATGTACATTTTTTTAACCTAAGTCCAAAGAAATAGGAAACTCTACAAACTCAAAAATATGCATTTAATATGCTTTTTATTGTTTTGGTGGTCACTACAAAGTATATGGTCAATGCATATTCCTGCAGACTTGAAAATTCATCTCAGGAATCCTGCGTGCCCTTAACCACTAATATCCCACCTCCTGTTTAATCTCCAAACTGAGGGAAATTTTGTCATTTACCTATAGGAATATACTGGGTGTTTATAACAGAGTATTATTTCTCCATTAAAAACTATGTATAAGGAACCAAAATAATGGAGCCATTATCTTAAATTTCTAAATGACCTCCTGAGTATATTCTTAGCCTTCTTCTTTTTTTTCTAACGTGGCCAACCAAAAATGATGTCGTCTCATGTGATACAGAATATGCCTTCTCAGTATGAACTTAATTGGCTTCCATGCTGTTTAAATGCTGTGGGATTTTAGTCTTTCATTCATTCAACCACATGATGCGCACAGCA